GTCACTTTGCTTGTCAAGCTTGATTTCGCAAAATTTATAATTTATTTATTTCAGTTAGCTATGAAATGTGAGATTAGGGTAAACTATGGGGTGTGGGTGATAGTACTTGCCCCGTCATATTTGACGGGATATACGCTAGTGTTACATGTAAGCTAGTAAGCAACATAGGAGACAAAACAGCCACCTTTAGATTGCAAACACGTTTTTGTAAGACAGTTTTATTACATTGTAGAATAGTATACTGCGATTTTGAAAGATATCTTTTTAGGGTTAGATCTGGCCGTTCCACAACTTTAATCGGCAGTTCTTGATTATAGTTTTTATTTTATTGGATGTATAGCTTCGTCAGTTAGAGGTACCATAAAATTAATCTTTTTTATGTTATCTTTGGAAGATTGTCTTTTTTCCACCTTGCGTATCTGTTTTTTTTTTCTTTCATGTTGAAAGTGTGATGCTGATTTTTGCGCGTCATAGTCATTGGAAATTTGTTCGATGTGAAAAGGTGAACACAGGTTGCTTAAAGGAGTGATTTTAGTTCAGATCGTGTAATGTTTTTCCACTACAGTTGTTATCGATTCTTTTTAATTCTCCAATAACTGAACCTTTCTTGGAAGCTTTGAGATGATGGGAGTTGAATTTAAGAAAAAGAGGTTTTCCAGTTGGTTTGTGAAACAAGATGGGTTGTATATTATTGTCATTGTCGATCCTTAAGGTGACGTCACGAAAATCTCTACACCTCTTGAATTGGATCTTGGAGTCTATGGAATTTAGAAAGTCTAAAAATTTTATTAAAGAAGGAAGGTTATGCTTCCTCAGTCCAAATATTTCACAATCCAGAGATTAGAGCCGGTGTTGGTATTTTGACACCAATTGTCAGGTGTCATTGTTCCAAAAACGTACATAAATATTACAGCATAGATATTAGCGATTCTATTACTAATTGTGACATCGCTTAGTTGGAGATATAGTTCATTGTTTAAACGAAAACATCCATTGTGAAAGATGAAATGTAAGAATTGTTTATGTTATGAGACATGAAATGGCCCACTGTATTGATGCCATCTCCTGTAAAGAGCTACATCGTTCAATGTAAACATTATTGTTGTGTTCGTCACTATGTGAGGTACATCCTTGATTCGCAGGTCTTGTGTATTGTTCAAGTGTGTTGGAACGTGATTTAGTAACGACACTAAAATTGTATGAATAAGACTTTCAGTGGCATATCCGGTTTATGTTCTTTTGGTAAATCGTATAATTCTGGGATGCAGCCATTAGCGGGTTTAAGTTCATCTAGAAGCTTCTTAGGGAGGTTACTTATTTTTGTAAGTTCATAGATCATCTCTTTAGTGTTCGTCTCAATTTTTTGGATGGAATTACTGTTAAGTATTTGAAACTTATTCTTGTCTTATAGGTGATCAAATATTTTTAATTTATAAATGTTTCTGCTCATAGCTACAAAACCTTTACATTTCTCCGACCCTTTGATGACGATGTTATTATTTTAAGTTTTTTAAGGGCTAGTTGTTCTTGGGGTTTAAGTAAGGCTTGGCTTGATGACTTCTATGTTTTTGTAAAACGTTCCTGATCGTTTTACTCATATTCGGGATTTTCGCTTCAATATCTATATTAGCGTAGGGATGTTGTCGCTTGTTGGCATCGAAAGGATGTTTATTTCAGAAATGGAATTAATGTCTGAATCAATGTTATCAGTTTCAATGTTGGCTATAGTAGAGGCTGAGTTTGTGATATTTTGCTGTATATTACAGTTATTTTCACTGTTGGTCGTAGTAAGCTGAGGTTTAGTCTTTTCTCCATTTTTATATAGAATAGAATAGAATAAAAAAATTGTTCAAGGGAAGCCAACGTGTTTAACATACTTGGTTGGAAAGTTTAGTTGTTGCTGAAAAAATTCACTTCTATCCTTTGATCTAAACTACTTAAAAGCCTATTCGAATAGAAAATCCCTTATAGCTCCAGTTCGACAGAAAACTGTTTGGAATCTATATAAGTATAATAGTATTGTATGTTGTATGTCCATGTTGCTATTCGCAGGGTGTGGCTGGATTTTCACCAAATTTGGTATGGACAGTCATTGGATCCATGGGGAAATACATACAATGTTTTGAAAGTTACGTTTTGCAATTTGTATGGGCGTTTTTTACCACTACTTCGCCTCCTGTCGGTGGATCTTCACCAAATTTCCCATGAAGGTTTCTTGGGTCCATGCGGAGATACATGCGTACTTGTGATCTCATATTTTGTATTTTGCAGTTTTTATGGGATTTTTTTTCGTTTTTTACAATTACATATAAGGGGAGAACTTTTCATGTCCTAAAATGACCTTTCATTAATCATGAAGTTACATACGGGTACTCCAGCTAGTAATGAAATATAATTATAATTAAAAGAACGTTTTTTTTTAACCAAATCAGTCTTTCCTTTTACATGGTAATAGAATTCTTGAGAAATTTACCTTTTCTTCCGTATTATAAACTTGGAGACACACTTCTTTCATTCAGTAATAGTATATTGTATACTTCTCGAAACCTGGTTTCGATACCCGTGGAGGAAAGAGCACAGATAGCCGTTTGTGTAGCTTGTGTGCTTAATAAAAACAACAACAACACACACACACGCAAACAGTATATAGGAGAATTGATCTTGGCTAAGGTTATATATAAATAAGTATGTTATAAGTCAAATACTAAGGAGTTAATATATATATATTTTTAATATATATAGTTGTGGATACAACGTTTCGGGCAATGCCCTTCTTCAGGTATCACTAACTGAACAGTAAATCCGTAAACGAAAACATTCTAAATCGAGGGTTCGTGACGTGACAATGTAACAAATATACGTGTATAATAATGGTTACAAACAACTGAAACAATAGAAAGTGATAC